ACAAGTAATGTGGTTAAACTGAGGCCACCAGAATGTTTTATAAGCACAGCAATGTGCTTTATAAACTTACTTAGGAACTCTGAAGCAAGCGAAAACCCACTCATCCAAATGAATGGGGGGGGGGGGAAAGGTGACATAGGGAAACCTAACACATGACTTTGACAGGTTACATAGCAGTGCTTCCCCCCTATTCTGAAGGATTCTCTGTGGAAAATTAATCACAGGACATTAGAGGCTCCACATAGCACTCTGCATTTTATGAATGAAAATTAAAATGTATATGCAGTGTGGAATAATCCCTTTGACTTCTTGCAGAGTGCAGAGAAGGGTAGACCATACACTGCTTAAATCTTGGCTGATTCCTGCTAGCTCAACCAAGGTCCGAGCATTGTGTTTCCCTGCCAGCTCTGCTCTGTTCAACAAAAGACTAATGGAGGGAGTCTTTCTGAAAATCTAATTAGTTGCAGGCACTATTAGAGTATTCTGACTGCTAGCGCTGTCAGGATACAATGGTCCAGCATGGGATATGTCCATCTGCCCTGTTAACATGCATGGAGGAATCTATTGGATTTCCTTAGTTCAGCTTGCAGGCTGAACAAAAGAATCTACATATATATATATATATATATATATATATATATATATAGCCAACCTAAAGCTGACCATACACTTTTTATTTATGTATTTATTAATGGTTCCTATATAGCGCCATCAATTTACACAGCCCTTTACATGCGTAGTGTACATTCATATCACTCCCTAATCCTCAAGGAGCTTACAATCTACAGCCCCTAACTCACATTCATACACAAACATACTAAGGCCAATTAAGACAGGTGCCAGTTAACCTACCAGCATGTCTTTGGGGTGTGGGAGGAAACCAAAGTACCCGGAGGATATCCACGCAGGCACAGGGAGAACATGCAAACTCCAGGCAGGTAGTACCTTCGTTGGGAAACCGACGACCCTAGTGCTGCTAGGCGGAAATGCCTACAACTTTGCCATTGTGTTGGCCACTAGAAGAATTGCATTTGAAAACTTTTGTTTATATTTTATAGCCATTAATGGAGTTAAAACGATACTTGATTTCGACTGCAGTGATGAAAAAATTCAAAGGAGAAGGATGGACAATTTTTCTTGAACAAATTTCTAACAATAAAAGTGTTTTTTGTTTTAGAAATTACATTCATTCTAAATGTGAATGTTAAAAGCAAATGAAATGTTGATGTACTTTCAAAATACCTTAGTCAAGTTATCAAATGTAATGATGAGAATTTTCATACAAATATTTGTATGAACATTTTTTTTTTTTAAATATATACAATAAGTGTATGATCAGCTTTAGAAATCATGCATACTTCATCTTGAACCTTAAATGTAATTCCAGACATGTTGAGAGGATGCCTTTCATCACACCAGCTTTTCTGTGGACAGAACAGTAGGAACCTTTCGTCATTCACATGCATCATGAAAGGAGCATTCTTTTTTCCTGGACAGATACTCTCTACAAATATTCTTAATCACACACTACTAAGCTGCAGTGAGAAAACATATATCTAAAGAAATATGTTTCCCCCATGTTTGATACCGCAGAGAATTGTAAAACCCCCTGTCAGTTTATTTTGTCATGTATATCATATTGGAGAAATGTTCACTTACTGTCCTGTAGACACAACAACAAAAGTCTATAAGATCTTCCTTTATTTCTGTTATGGTAAAAACTCAAAATGTAAGGCTGGCCATAGATAATGTGATTGTCTTTGCAGAAAAGAAAATTGCTTGATTTCCCCATCAACACTGCTGGTGTTGATGGGGGAATCCCTCCTGAGTAGCTATTACATTCTACAAGAGAGGAGGTGACAACTAAGAAGAGACTTCCCTTTACATTACAGAAATTTCCAAATTGTATCAACTTGCAAACTTAAATATAGGCTACAATCAACTCAAGCAAGTTGCATTTGATATACTTTAAATCTTTAAAATGTTAGGAGAAATGTGCTTAGCCTGTCGTTACATTGGAAGAGTAAAAAAAATAAAAATTTTAAAATGATCCTAAAGCATTCACATACTGCCCCCATCCTGGCCAGGGGCACATATCTAGTTTTGGAGCTTTGCTTGTATGTAATTAAAAATAACTGTAATATTCTTTATTGACAGCACCAATCGACCATGCTAGTCATATTACATTGGGAAAAATGCTTTGGCTTCAACAACCTGTAAGCACTACAACAGCAGAAAACTAACATTAATTTGTGAAATGTGCCTTATTGTATTAGGTAGTAAATACCAAATATCCTTTGCGGTGTTTTAGTTCAAACAAATAAAAGTGCACTGTTAGAATGGCAATTCACATTTTGGTGGACTCCATGAAAGACCAGTCTTGGTTGGCTTGTGCACGTCTTGGGTTAGTCCTTTGGCACTGAGATATTGGCCGGCTGCGTCTGAAGCTGTTGATTGATTGCCTGAGTGAGCCAAGCCTCTTCCAAAGTCTGAGCTGTGGCTCACTGGCATCTTCCACATGATAAGGCATGAATTCCCCGCGGTCCATATAGTGACTGGTCTAGGGCTGCAGGCTTACAGAGTGTCACAAATATGAGGCAGGTTGCCAGCAACAGGAAAATGCATGCAAGTGATATGATAATAGGCAGGGGGTCTGTAAAATCCAAAGGGATACTGGTGGTATTTGTGGAAATACTCTCTGTGGTGGTGTTAATCTGTTCAAAGAAAGTAGTGCCCCCTAGTGTTTCATTGTTGAATGTCTCTTCAGTTTCAGCAGTCATCTTTCCTGTTAAAAAGGAAGAAATATAATATTACAACACCAACCTGTTCCTTCTTTGTGTTTATCCTCTATATTAAGACATTATATAACATAAATATAATATACCATTTTCTAATTGCCCTTCAGCAATGCATTCCGATGCTAAAGTGTTGATAATCAAGTTACAGAAACTGCAGTGAGTGTTCATCCTTTTCTAATCACAGTGAATTTCTGCCATCGCCAAATACACAGTGTGAAAATATGGCACCATGGTTTTTGGATGTTTTCCTAATGAGATTGGGTACAACAAATAGCTGATTGCAGCAAAAGGGCTACTTGAGGATATACAGTGTGTATATAATCTATATGTATATGTGTACAGTATATATGTACCTTGTGGTATTCTGACAAGCCTTCTTTTTTATAGAAACAGCTTTTGCAGCAGAAACGTTATTTCAGATCAGTGGCTTGTGTTTAGAGATAAACACCAGACACCTACAATGCTTAAAGTGGGTCAGTGTAATGAAGACACAGTTAGCTAAACAAACCCTTCACCTAAAAATTTATATAAAAAGTATTAGAACGTGATTTTCTAAAATCAGGTCAAATAATCTGTCTGTCTTGAATTTAAAATTTCCGGTTTAGTAGGAAGGATCTCTGAGTAGGTAATAAGTGACTTAGTCACACATGACACTCGGAGGAGATTTGCTCTGCAAAACACACCATAGGCTTGATGCAGGTAGGTGATATGCCAACCAACCTGCTAGTGGCACAGTATATATCCTTGTAGGCTGAAGGAACTAGTCATTTCAAGGTACAGAGGATGATATTGAGATCTGAGGAACCCCAAAATTGAGTCAGAAACACAGGGCAACGTTACTGTTCTGAAAATTGCAAGCCAAGGCAGTGACATTTTTTTAAAAAGACTTTTACTCTCTGACCCCATCCCACCCCAGGACACAATACATATTAATGTATACATAGTGAATACATATCCTCTTCAGCAGAGACCTTCCTTTAAGCTTCAAAGGGCTTATTAACAGTGCCATTAAGCCTTTTGGCAACAATCAACACAGTGCTATCAGCACTTAGACAATCATACCATAACCCAGAGTTCTATAAAAAAAGCATATTGTAAATGAGTCATGAAAACAATCCAGTTTATGGCAGCTCTGACATGATCTAGATGCAGGCAATTAAACCAGTTAGGCTGAAATCTCCAAAGCAAACAGCCTATTAGCAAAGTCTTTATGGCATGTTGTAAATATTTTAGCAAGCACTGTAAAGCAGGCCAAGCAGCATAAAGCAGCAGGATATTTATTTCTTACTGCAGATTCACAATTCAGTCATTATTCATAAATCCTTGTATGATAAAGCTACATTAATAACAAGAATGTAGCCACAGGTATCAAACTATTGGTCATGCAGGTAATATAAATACCCCCACTATTACAAAGTTCAGGAAGCTAATGGGGCATATTAACTCTTCTGAGGACGCCGCACATAAGAGACACTTCATGATTAGCTTCCATTAGCTTGTAACTTAATTCTGTTAAATATGTTAGTTGCCTAACTGTAAATTATAATAATTCAGAAACACCAATATAATTTATTAAATGTATTGTAGGTCAATTTCTTGAGTCAGATGGTGAAAGCCACACTTAGAGATAATGTCCTCCTGGACCTACTAATTACAAATAACACAGGTCTGATTGCAGATGTAGAGGTAAGGGATAATTTGGGTAACAGTCATCACAGATTAATTACATTTGCCATAAATTATAGGAAAAGTACACATGAGGGTAGGACAAGAACACTACATTTTAAAAGATCCAAATGTATTAACTACTTGCCTACAGGGCACTTATATCCCCTTCCTGCCCAGGCCAGTTTTCAGCTTTCAGCGCTGTCGCACTTTGAATGATAATTGAGCAGTCATGCAACACTGTACCCATATGAAATTTTAGCATTTTTTTCTAGACAGATAGAGCTTTCTTTTGCTGGTATTTAATCACCTCTGGGTTTTTTTATTTTTTGCTAAACAAACCAAAAAACAACTGAAAATTTTGAAAAATAAAATGTTTTTTCTTAGTTTTTGTTATAAAATTTTGTAAATATATGATTTTTCTCCTTCACTGATGTGCTCTAATGAGGCTGCAGTGATGGGCACTGATAGGTGGCACTGATGAGGAGGCACTAGTAGGTGGCACTGATGAACATTGACAGACATCACTGGTGGGCACTAAAAGGCAGCAATCGTGTATGGCACTGATAGGTGGCACTGACTGGCACTGATAGGCTGCACTAACTGGCACTGACTGACACTATTAGGAGGCACTGATAAGCAGCTCTGACGGGCATTGATAGGCAGCACTGATAGGCGGCACTGATAGGCAGCACTGACTGGCACTGATACGCGGCACTGACTGGCAGCACTGATAGGTGGCACTGATAGGTGACACTGAAAGGCAGCTCAGATGGGCACTGATATGTGGCATTGATGTGCACTGGTAGGCAATGATATGTGGCATTGATGAGGCACTGATGGGCACTGGCAGGTCGCATTGAGGGACAATAACAGCTGGCATTGATGGGCACTGACAAGCGGCACTGCTGGAGCTACACTGATCATCAGGGCACACTGATCATCAGTGCCCTGATGATCAGTGTACATGTCTCCTCCTGGGAATGCTGATTATAGGCTCTCCTCTCCTTTCGAGCTGTCAGCGTGACAGCTCGTGAGGAGAAAAATGCTTAACCGGCAATTCCCTATTTACATGCGATCAGCTGTGATTGGACACAGCTGATCACATGACCGAGCCGACATCTTCGGCTCTTTCCATTGATCGGTGATCCGCTGTGCCCGAGGGACACAGCACACCACCGATCGCCACGCTGCGCGCTTGCAGAGCCGCGCATGTGCGGTTAGAGTGGGAGGATGTCATGTGGCATCCGCCCAGAACAAGAGAACCGCTTTGTGCCCGTCATTACCTTATATGGCGGGCGGGAGGCAGTTACTGGCATGGTACCAGCTTACTGGCAAAAGCAAATGTGATACCAATAATCAAAAAAAGGGTTTGATTTTTATTGGGTAACTACAGACCAGTCAGCCTAACATCAATAGTATTTAAACTATTGGAGAGAATGAGGGACCATATCCAAGAAAGTGCTGATGGAAATAGTATCATTAGTAGCAACCAACATGGATTTGTGAAGAACAATTCTTTCCAGACCAACCTTGACAGTCAATGAGGAGGTGAGCTGTAATTTGGATAGAGGAAGGCCTGTGGACATGGTGTATCTAGATTATACTAAGTCATTTGTTACAGTACCCCACAAATGAATAATCTACAAATTAAGGTCTTTTGGGATTGATGGCATGGTATGTACCTGGATAGCTATGTAATTATAAAAGTGACATTAAAGAAGTAGTCAGTGAAGTATAAATAAACATTTCAGCAATCCTATTTCCCACCCATTAGATCTTTTGGTTGGATAGGGGGGAAGACTTGGTGATGTCTTATAGAAGTTCCACAAAAAGCTGGTGCAGCTGCAGCTTGATAGCTCTCAATTCCATCCAATTTCAATTTTCTCCAGACTTTTACATTAAATTACATTTTAAAATTGTTAAGTTTTATCTCTAATGCACTAAACAAGAACTTAAAGAATTCCTGTTGAATGCACTATATAATATATCCTGTGTCATATTCCTGTCTGACAACATGCATTACAGATGCTTCTTAAATGTTAGCATTGTTATAGCAGATTCTGTGAAAAGTGAAGGTTTTCCTTAAACAATTGTGGCAGCTGTTGTGTATGTGTTTGTAATAACTGCAGATAATCCACTGTAATGAAAATCACTTTTACATGTTTAGCACTGGGTGACTAGTGGCTGGAGGTATATGTTTAATTTTTGGATAGTGAAGCGCTACCATGGGGTGAGTTTTATTTTACTCTTTAGTGACTGCCACCAAGTCACTAATGTGGCACTGTCATAAGTATGTGACAATGACACTGTCATCCTCACCGTGCACAGATATTTTTGCCTGCAGGACAATAATTAAGTGCTAGAAGACTAAAACAAATGTCCACCAATGTGATGTCTACTAAAAGTTCATAAATAATGCCCCATGCATTAATCCAACACAAACTTCAACTGTTCCAGTTCAAAAACCAGTCTTGGTCTTCAGATCACCTTCACCACTGTGCTCCAATTGATTTCCAGTCCCCATAACACACCACAATCACCAATTTCATTTGGCTCTCATTTTACTGATCAGCAAAAGACGCTCTCATCAAGTTCCTTAGAGTGGCTCCTCCTTCAATACACCTTTATCAGCTTCACACTGTCTCATAGATATAATAGGGCTCAGAAGAAAGAGTGGCCAACATAGCGTAATCCCATTTCAACTGCTTTATTTAAATCCATTCCCAGTTAAAAACACACAAACAAATTAAAAACAATGCCCAGCAGGAAAGATTGCCATCAATATTGCTAAGACCATGTGGCTGTAATCTCACCATGCTCATTCACTGCGTCACTTCCAGGCCAGAGTATTGATGTCACTTCCAGTCGCCATATAGCCCCACCCTGACGGAGGAAGTTGTAATGATGAAATGCATCAGGGTGGGGCTATACGGCAACCTGAAGTGACATCAATACGCTGGAACAGAAGTGATGCAAACACGTGGTGAATGAGCAGTGTGAAACACAGTGATCACCAGCCACATGGTTTTAGCGATATTGACAGAAATCTTTATACTGATGGGCATTGTTTTTAATTTGCTTGTGAGTGTGTTTTTTTTAACTGGGGATGAATTTTAACAGAATTATGCATTGTTGGCCACTCTTTTTTCCTAGTATATCTATGGGAGACAATATGGAGCTGATGGAGGTGTATCGCAGGAGGAACTACTCTGAAGGAAATTTATGAGAGCGTTTTTTGTGATCAGTAAAATAAGAGCCAAATGCAATTGGTAAGTATGGTGTCTTATGCAGGCCATACATGGGTCAAATTCTGAACGAATTCTCTTTAGAAAATCAGAAATTTTGTGAGTTTTGTAATCCAATGGTTCCACCATTGATTTCAAAATTCAACCAACCAAGCCTTCAATTTCACTTCATGTTGCTACAGAAGAGAATTTTCAAGGCCAAGAATTTTCTTTTCTTTCCAGGTCACAGCTTTATATTTCTTGAACGAGTCTCCCATCACTGATTCGAAATTCGTTCGTTTTTCAAAAAATTTCCAACATGCCCAATCACTCAAATTCGATGGTCACATAAAAATTGGCTGTTTTTTATGAGCTTTTAGTAGACATCACAGTGGTGGACATTTTTGTTTTACATATTTAGCACTGGGTGACTAGTGGATGGAAGATTTCATTTAATTTTTGGATAGTGAAGCGCTACCAAGGGGTGAACTTTGTTTTACTTTTTTATGTTTATGATTTAATTCTCATATTATGGTGGCAGCAAACGGTTAAGTTTAATTATTAGTTTGAGTTCCTCCTGAGCGCTGGGTATTGGGTTTGAATATTGGTGGTAGTGCCTGGGATATGACATTGCTGTTGTCACACCTAGATCTTTAAAGGCACATGATATAATTTTTGTACATAGAAACCACTTAAAGTGTTACTAAAGTAAAAATTGTATTTAAAATTAAATTAACAAACATGTTATACTCACCTGCTCTGTGCAGTGGTATTGCACAGATCAGCCCCAATCCTCTTCTCAGGTCCCCGCCGGTGATCTTAGCTTCTTTGTATGTACCCATAGCAAGCCGTTTGCTATGAAGCACTTCCGAGCTGTGTGTCTATGGAACTGTGCTCCATAGGCTTACACAGTTGGACTTAGCCCCACCCCCACTTCCTCCTCACTGCATTTGATTGACAGCAGCAGAAGCCAGTGGCTCTTGCTGCTGCTCGAGTACTGTGTGAAGAAGAAGAGAGGGGACAATAGATGCAGCCATGCACAGTGCTCCCCTCTCTTGCCCTTCACACAGGGAAGGGGGAGGGGCAGAGAAATAGAAACCTCAATGTTAATAATATTAATGAAGCTATATGATCTATTCCTCATACAAGGTAAAGCTGAACTCCAGGTATAGTTCTTAGGTACAGAGGTACACTGCATCCAGAAAGTATTCACAGCACTTAACTTTTGCCACTTTATGTTACAGCCTTATTCCAAAATGGATTCAGTTTTTTCCTCAACATTCTACAAACAATACCCATAATGACAACATGAAAGAAGTCCGTTTTGAAATCTTTGCAATTTATTAAAAATAAAAAACGAAAAAAACCACATGTACATAAGTATTCACAGCCTTTGCCATGACACTCAAAATTGAGCTCTGGTGCATCCTGTTCCCACTGATCATCCTTGAGATGTTTCCACAACTTGATTGGAGTCCACCTGTGGGAAATTCAGTTGATTGGACATGATTAGGAAAGGCATAAACCTGTCTATATAAGGTCCCACAGTAAACAGTGCATGTCAGAGCACAAACCAAGCCACGAAGTCCACCAGAAATCTTTCTAAGCGGGCCGCCCGGCCAAAATGAGCGATCAAGGGAGAAGGGCCTTAGCCACGGAGGTAACCAAGCACCCGATGGTCACTCTAAAAGAGCTCCAGCTTTTCTCTGTGGAGAGACGAGAACCTTCCAGAAGAACAACCATCTCTGCAGCACTCCACCAATCAGGCCTGTATGGTAGAGTGGCCAGACGGAAGCCCCTCCTCAGTAAAAGGCAAATGGCAGCCTGCCTGGAGTTTGCCAAAAGGCACCTGAGGGACTCTCAGACCATGAGAAACAAAACTCTCTGGTCTGATGAAACAAAGATTGAACTCTTTGGCCTGAATGTCAAGTGTCATGCTGGAGGAAACCAGGCACCGCTTACCACCTGGCCAATACCATCTCTAGAGTGAAGCATGGTGATGGCAGCATCATGCTGTGGGGATGTTTTTCAGCGGCAGGAACTGTGAGACTAGTCAGGATTGAAGGAAAGATGAATGCAGCAATGTACAGAGACAACCTTGATGAAAACCTGTTCCAGAGAGCTCTGGACCTTGGACTGGGGCGACGGTTCATCTTTCAACAGGACAACGACCCTAAGCACACAGCCCACATAACAAAGGAGTGGCCACGGGACAACTCTGTGAATGTCCTGCAGTGACCCAGCCAGAGCCCAGACTTGAACCCGATTGAACATCTCTGGACAGATCTGAAAATGGCTGTGCACCGACGCTCCCCATCCAACCTGATGGAGCTTGAGAGGTACTGCAAAGAAGAATGAGAGAAATTGCCCAAAAATAGGTGTATATAAATAAAATTATACATAAATCATATAAAGTCCAAACAAAAGTCCAAAATGATGTAAAACCTGACAAATTAAGAAGTGTTCAACAAATATCACCAGAGTGAATCTGCCACCAAATAAATTGAATGAACTCACCAGAGCAATATGCTGATCACATTATAAATCAGCATAAAGCGCTTACTGCTCTGGGAGCAATGGTCTGCAAACTGGTGAGGCAACACTAGGAACTTGATATCTGGTCTCCAGGGAGCAATATTCTGCAGGGAATGTATAC